ATTACATCACGAACCTTTCTTCCACCCACACCCCTGTACAGAACGGAATGCGTTTCTCCCAGACCAAGGCTCGCAGAATACCTAATGTCACCATTGTCCAAGAATGACAACTGAAGTTTTACTCCTAGAATGACAACTGAAGTTTTACTCCTAGAAGACATAATGAAATAAATTTACTCACCAAAATCTTGATAAAATAAATAACAAACTTTGAAACAACGTCCGTCCTCCAAGGATGTAGATGGGAGAAAAGGCAGAGTAACGCACCGCATGGTCAGAATTTCATTTGTTAGATTTTAATTGGTCAGATTTTGATTGGTCAATGTCTGCCTCTCCTACCACGGTAAGACATGGAACAAAATTAACATTACAAAGCACAGCTATACAGTATTTCAGACTTTCACATTCAAGGAGGACACTTATTGATTACAATAAAAATTTTTAAGTAAACTTAAATTTATTTATTAATTGTTTATTTACCACCTATCACATAAGCATGTATTAGTTACCGGGTATTTATATGATATCGTGGCTCAGATTGCCGTTAAATAATCTTATACATTTGACAAATTAACTAAATGCACAATTGAAATCAATTCTAAATGACTGGATATGAAAGGGAAAAAGGAATTTCTGTACGGTTTACATATTATATTGTTCTTTATCCTTTTCATGTATACATCACATGTATGGCACATGTCTTAAGAAAAACTCAAAAGGCTAAAATAATATGCATTAACTTTAGCCATCCTTAACTGACCTGTTAGTAGTCAGTATTACAACGTCAGTATATTGGGTATTCAATAAAATATAGTAACAATAGAAGTAAAAGATATGATTGTATACCGTAAGCTACATAAAAATTAAACTAAAGGGTTACTTTCATTCACAATTGTATACTTTAATAGCATAAATGTATATATACGTGTATTTTAAATGATTTTGTCAACATGGAAAATAATGGCTTTGATATTTTATGTCTTTTTATCAATCAAATTCCATAGAATACTTTTTTCTATGTTTATAGAATTTTCTTAAATGAAATTCTGTATATTTTCTTTTTTCTTTAATTGAATTCCTTTATTTATTTTTTAAAGGAACAAAGTATGATATTTTGTCTTTTGAATTCTTCATAAAGATATCAAGTAGTTATCAAGTTCAAAAGTTCATTAAAAAATTGATAACAGGAGCAAAGCAAACACGGGCCTAAAATGGGATCAGGTGCCATGGAAGAGTAAGCACCCCTGTCGACCTGTAAAAACCGCTTTATTTTAAATGCGTTTTTTGTCATAACGGGGTAAACGGAAAAATCGAGAGACAATCCAGTGTGAAAATAATAGTCTACAGATTTGTATCGAAACGAAAGTCAAAAAGTCTTAATGAAAGATATTATTTGCTGACAAGGTCATTGTATTCACAATAGAAATTTGAGATTATAAGAGACAACTAATATCCTTGTTTCATCACCTAAATTGTAAGAAGCTTGCCCAATTTAAGGAATATTTCGTATGTAAAGCATGCTGTTGCGTAAAGTATCAACTTCAGACATAAACTCCAAATGCAGGTGATATTGGTATATTGCGAATGTAAAACGAACGTTGACGATGGAAAAGTTGAAGTCATCACGTTGATCATAAAGGTTTGATATTGGAGATTTTAGAGAAGCGTTCACTCTGACAGTCAACGACTTACTCTGACATTGTTTTAACGTGTTTTATGTACGAAGGTACGGTATGAATTATAGGTACGAAATTCGGTCTCATCTGAAGGACCGGTGTCCACGTTCTACACTGACGTAAGGTTAACTCCCTATTGCGCGACTCGTGAGAAAACGATCTAGCCAATGCACCACAAGGGTGACAGGAAAATATTTGAAATTAATGTATTATATCTTTGAAGAATATCTGCCTTTGAAAAGGAAGTATATGACTTGTATAAGTTGAGCTACCATTTGCAGGAAAATATTCATGTTTCCTCTGAAATACAATTTAAATATTGAGCCTTAGAACAAAGAAACAAAGACAATTTTATTACATGTAGCTGCTTAGTCAGCTGGAACCAGTACATACTGATAATGAAACCTACCTATTCTATTTTCATTTATGCATTTTTGATGGCAAAAGGATTGGTGTTTTCATATTTTTCACATTACCCTCTTTATTTGATTTCTTTTACATACCTCTGATACTTTTAATCCATTCGAGAAAGTATAAAGGTCTTCTTTTTTCATGTTTTACCTAATTTTCAACAGAATTTCCAATAGTTTTAAATTTTGGCGCCAGTTGAAAGATCGGGTTTTCCTAAAATTTGGAATTTTCAAATGAGTGATTGAAGTTCCTCATTAATAACAATATTTATATCACGTAATGTCGTGAAGCAGGACTATAGTTGTAGCTGAAAAGATCATGATATAATAGATATTTAGAGCATGGAACTGTGAAGTTTTTCTGTCATTCAAAAGTTTTGAAGCAAGGGTCGATATTATATATTAGTATGAAACATAAGGTGTGGAATTCTACTTGAATAATGGTGGAATACAAGAAGGATATGGAAACAACGAACCGTTTTACAGTATTTAATATCAAAGGAAATAACGGAGTGAAATTTCAGTAATTTCAATGTCTTGCACATATACACATAAATATAAACACTGAGAAATGCGCTAAATCAAATCTACCCTAACTTGTTCAAAAATCAATTTCCGCCAAATATCGTACACGCTAAATATAATACATTTACAGTAGGAGCAGAGCAAATACGGACGTCCAAAATATCAAAGGTGAGATCAGGTGCCATGAAGGAGTGAGCATCCCCTGTGACCGATCACATCCGCCTTGTGCTCCTTGTCATGATCCGCAAATAACGGAAAAATCCGTCGTCAATTCTGTGTATAAATAATGGACTAGCGATTAGTATGAAAAACGTAAGTCAGCATTTGATTCAATGATAAATTGTACTTGCTGACAAGGTCATTGTATCAACCATAGAACTTACGATATGATGACTTTAAACGCGACTGCTGATATTCTTGTTTTATCAATCTGTTTGTCAATGATTTACCTTGTTTTAGAAATTGTTCATTGAGCATGCTCTTGCGTATCGAATCAACTGAGATATATAAACCCCGTATGCAGATGATGAAGGTATATTGCTGCATAAGTAAGGGAAGTTGACGATAGAAAAGTTAAAGTCATCACGTATATCATAGAGCTTGGTTGTTAGATTATCATTAACGTCTTTTTCAAGTAAAATATCCAAGTATGAAACAGATGTGTCAGACTCTGTGGTATCTTTTATCTCAAGCTCACCAGGATATATATCGACATAGGAATGGAAATTACCATTTTGATTGACAATACGTCGTCGATATATCTAAATGTCGAGTTAAAGGCCACGGCAAGTGTTTTCTTCTTTTCACGCATAAGATTTTGCATAAATTCTGCTTCATATGAATACAAAAATAAGTCTGCTAATAAAGGAGTGCAATTGGTACCCATGGAAAACCAATATATTGTTAGAAGACCTGGTCTCCAAAAACAACATAGGTTTTGTCAATCAGAAACTCAAGCATCTTTTTGATGTCAACTTCAAACTTGCGTTTGCAATCAGAATGTGTTTTAACAAAATAATTTTGCAAATGACCAATGACCAGGTAAGTAAATTTACGAGTTCCATTTTTATTTAAAAAGCAGCTGTCAATAATATCAAAAAAGCATGGACTTTAATTTATTGTGGGGAAGGGCTGTGTATAAATTTGAAGAGTCGTAAGTTTTAAGCTGTTGATTTTGGTCAAATCTTGTGATTTCAAATTGTCCAAAAGTTCTTTGGTAGTTTTTAATATCCATATCTGATTCACAACACTTCTTGAATATATTGTTGCATAATACTCTTGAATTTTTTCCTTCACTTCTGTCAATAGCTTAGTGAGGAGTAAAGAAAGAGCCTTGGTTCAATATTTATTGGAACCCGTTTTATTTGTAAGGATTCTTATAAAGTTTTGGAATCCAATATACTATATAAGTAAGTATATATATGGTATATAGTTCAAACTCATTTTGGTTCTTTTGGGATATTTCAGACTAGACTTTCTTGTGACTTAAAATATTAGGTATGTTTACATCATCACTTACTTAATATGTTGGGTGAATGAGGTTTGTATGAGAAACAAACGATTTATCTAACGGGCTACCCTGGCGGCTAAAAAAGCCTAATATTTGAAATATCCACAATGACAGATCAGCGCCTGCATTCTGGTGTTGAAGAATCGACAACTCCAAAACTAGGATTGACATAATTTTATTTTTTGATTCCTATGACTGAATACTGCTTTTAGAAGTTTAAAGTTAAATATATTTTTTATGAAATATGTTACCATATTTATACCCCATAACTGGAGATTTGGAGGCGTATAGTTTTTGTTTTTTAAACATTAATTTTAGTAATATATTCTGAATTGATAGTGCTTTATCTTTAAAATTTCACATGTGTTATATATTGCAAGACCTTTCTTTCAAGAACTAGTACTTTTTCACCTCATGAGGTAGAATTGAGACCTTGTTTTACTTTTCTTTTTTTTTTAAAAAAGGTGTCGTTGGACTTCTGGATAACTGTTAAACTATTGGTGCCATGGCTTTAAAATTTCACGTCTTTTTTTCTTTGAGACAAGAACTTTTTGGCTTTCAGAATTTTATGTTTAATTGACCTTAGAATTTCACGTACTTTCGAAAAAATTTTTTTAGTCATGAGCTGTAATGAGGAGACATCAGTGTTTAATCAAGCATTGAATTTCAATGAGTATGAATACAAACTGCAATAAGACACCATTCAAGGACCAAGCTATTGAAGCTCTCACTAGCCAATTTCCAAACAAAACCTTTGAAAATAGTCTAGTAAAGAGGTCTCTAAAGGTTTGGGAATAAAGGTTGACAGAGAAAATTCAGTTAAAAGAAACTAACTTTCCAGAGGGTTCATTTTTTTAACTAATTTATTTTCTCTACACAAGCCCCTGTGAATGAACTTTCCAGAGGATTCCGAAGTTTGAACTTTCGAAATGAACTATCTAGGGGATTTCGAAGATTGAATACGCCAAAGGTTGTTCTCAGCCACATACTGTTCATAGCCTGGGTACCACCTTCTTCCACTGTATTCTAAATCATTCCTAGATCCCCTTGATCTGTCCTGCTGCTTGTTTATCAGATAGTCTGTTCTATTGTTGTAATTTTGTGCTCCTCGAGGTCTATTTTCTCTGTATTCGTATTCACTTTTATAAACATCCTGCTTTCCCCTCGGGGTTCTTGGAATCATTTCCTCTCTGGAATTATATCTATCTTCGTACATATATGGACTTTGGAGTTCTCTTGCATTCCAGTTATCTTCATAGTTATTTCTCATTCTTTGTTCATTCACGTGTCTTCTTGGATTTCTATCATCTTGTGGTACTATATTTCCCATATAAACATCAAGTTGTCTGTTTTGGGACCTGTTCCCTCTTGCTTCATATTCACTTATGTTGGTTTTAGATTGTCTTTGTTGAAACCGCATCTCTCTTTTTTTATTTCCTGATCTATAAGCATCAAACTGCCTGTCCGATAATTTCTCATCACTTTGACCATAATACCTGCTCTGGGCACTTTGATTCGCGTTTACAAACTCTTTTTCTTTATTTCCTGATCTATAAGCATCAAACTGCCTGCCCGCTAACCTCTCTTCACTTTGGCCATTATACCTGCTCTGGGCTCCTTGGTTCACCTTCACAAACTCTTTGTCTGTTACGCCGTTTCCTGCTGCATAAGGATCCCGTTGTCTGCTGGGAACTCTGTTCACCACAGCATACCTTCCGTTTGTGTTCGGACCTGAATTTATATTTGACGGTATATTTTCCATGGCCATATTCCGTGTTGCATTGGCACTGTCCAGCAGGTCCTAAAACATACAGGAAAAATTAACATTTTTTTTTTCTTTTTTTCAATAAAGTTGTGTACTAAAACACAATTAATTATTGTATGCTCCAATACATTATTTCAATAAACTAATGGTATTATACTGATGAAAATTCCAATATTAAACCCACATACACCTTTGATAATAAATTTATGTCCTTTTCAAAATTTAAAATAATAGTACATTTGTTTGATACTGCTTGACTTTGAGTGGAAAGTTTTATTTAATGAAAAAAATTTTCTCTGATCAAATACTTTAAGATTTCAAATGAATTATTTCTTATTCTTTGGCATTAAAATTACATATTACCGTAGTATGTTTAGAGAAGAGAAAATGCTTGAATTGTCGATCATTTGTTGTGGTCTTCTGTGATTTACTGCGGCACGAACATACAATAATCACTATCAAAATGATGATTACCAGTGCTCCTCCAGCAGATGCACAGCTTATGATTATTATTTCTGGAAAAAAAATATTTAGTAAACTAATTTTCAATTCCCTTTGAATGCAAATATTTATTTCACAATCAGATTTCAATCGCCAGAATTTCATAGGAAGTTTTTTATGAAATAAACGTCCAGAATTATGGTCCGCATTAAGAAGCATGTGGACCAATGTGAGGCAAGAAATATAACTCTAGACATAACACCAACCACACATGCACCATTAAGGTTAATACCTAAGCATAAAACTGACAAGAAATATTCCACTATAGAAATGTTCTTTACTATTTTTTACTCATTTAATCTTCTCGCTCATCAATTTTATTACAAACAAAAATTTCATTTTATGCCACGCTATGAAATGATACCGTTTTCTGTTAATCCACTGTCATCTTTGAGGTTGTCTTGACGATAGCATGGGCCATTTGTTGGGCAGATATAGCTAGCATCGATAACAGCGTTTGGGTCTGTTCTACCATCAATCGACACTAAAAATACAAAGACAGATGCATTTCAAAATTTCTGAAAGAACTTATTCAGCATTAATCACAAATGATTTGAATGGGATGTTGTATTTTCATGTTGCATTTTCTTTTCTTTTTTCATTTTGCATTTAAGAATTTTAATTGATGATATGGCTGCATAATGAAAACCCTTTAATTACCCTGCTTGTTGGAGGTATCTATATAAGAAACAGATAAGGCGTTGACGTCATTTCCGTTGTAGGTTAAGTTGGTTTTTCCCTCAGATACGTCTTTCATAACGTTCACGACATCAAGTAACATTGCAGGCGAATCATCCACGTATATGTTATAGTCCACAATCAAGGATCCTTTGCTTATTTCCAAATAAAAAAGGCATGTAAAATTTGAGATTTTGGATTTTATAAGATGTCTTGATTATCAATATCAAGTATCAGAAATCTCAATGAAATTCACATTCTTCAGATTCTTGCAATACCTTAGTGAGTTAATTTCAATTTTCAGACTTTCTTTCAATGTGTCCATGTACAACTTTGTTAGCTGTAAATAAAATGATTGTTATCAAGTAAATTGTATATATGTTGACTTTAAATGGAAATAAATTATATACAAAAGCACTGCATGTATTTGTTTAGCCTGGTTTACTTACTGCAGTCCTTGTATCGTTGACCACTTTTGCTTTACTGCCTTCAATCGAGAGATCCCTCGTCTCATTTACGTTCAAATGAAGCTGAAAATTCATTCTCCTTTGCGTTGTTGGAGCAGATGTGGTTCCTCTTGTTGTTGTTAAAGCGGATGTTGATGATGATGATGTCGGTGAGGTTGTCGATGAAGATGTAACTTCCTTTGTCGTGGTAGGGGCAGTTTGTGTTGTTGATGATATTGGGTTTGTTGTACTTGTTGTCAATGCTGTCGTTGTCTTTGCATATGTTGTTGATGATGGTGCACTACTTGTTGTTATAGATGCAGTTGAACTGGCTGTCGATGATGCTGTTGTACTTAATGGCGATGTTGTGGTTGTTGATGAAATACTTGTTGTCGGTAAAGTTGTACTTGTTGTTTGCGATGCTGTACTAGTTTGCACTGAGGACGAACTTATTGATATACTTGTTTTCGATAATGTTGTACCCATTTTCGTTGAAGTCATACTAGTTGTTGTCGGCGTTGTTGTACTTGTTGTCGGTAATGCTGTACTTGTTGTTGGTGAAGCTGATCTTGTTGTCGATGGAGCTGTACTTGTTGTCGGTGGTGTTGTACTTGTTGTCGATGAAGTTGTACTTGTTGTCGATGATGCTGTGCTTGTTGTCGGTAGAACTGTACTTGTTGTCGGTGATGTTAAGCTTATTGCACTTGTTGACGAAGAGACTGTACCTGTCTGTGATGAATCTGTTGTTCCTGATTCTTCAAATGTAGAACCTGTTGGCGGTGATGTCGTACTCGTACTCGTTACCGGAAATGTTGCTGTAGTTGTTGTTAATGATGTACTTGTTGACATCGATATTGTACTTGTTGTTAGTGATGTTACTGAATTAGTACTTGGTGAGAATGTGCTAGCCGTTGATGGCATGGATGTTGTTTCTGCTGAGTTTGTTGTTTGTTGTGATATTTCTGTTGTAGGTGATTGTTTCGTTGTAGACACTGTAGCTAAGTTTGCGGTAGTTGATAATATAGAAGATGTGATGGAGGAATCTGTCGTTGTTGTCGTGTCTAGAGAGGATGTTGTTGTGTTTGATGTCTTGATAGTACATATCAGTATTATTAACACAATCCAGGCAGTTCTAGTTTCTATTCCAAAATTGACAGCCTAGCAAGAAAAGATAAAGATAATTTTTAAAAATATCAATTTTATAATGATATAATTAACATATCAATTTTAAAATGTTATACTAATTAATAATTAATAGAGAACATGTGTTTGGATTCTCATAATAACTATTTATACATTCTTCTTGATCTCCCATGGTGTCAATTGCGCCCCATTATTAGCAGACTTATTTGTCCAAAATCTTATACGTGAAAGGAAAAAAAAAACACTTGCTGTGGCCTTCAACTCAACATTTAGATACAAGATAGGTTATTACCATTCTTATGTCGATTTCTAAATCGAGGTAAGATATTGACAAACAAGTTGATAAAGCAAGAATATCAGCAGTCTCGTTAAAAGTCACCACTTCGTAATTTCTATTGTCGATAGAATGACCTTGTCAGCAAATACAATTTTTCATTAAGTCAAATACTGACTGACGTTTTTCATACTAATTGTTAGGCCATTATTTACACACTAAGCTGTTGACGATTTTTTTCGCTATTTTCCGATCATGACAAGGAGCACATGGCGGAGGATGCTCACTCCTCCATGGCACCTGATTCCATCTCTGATATTTTGGAGGTCCATGAATGCTTGCTCCAATTCTCTATTGTTTAAAGGACTTTTGAGCTTGAAAACTTGGGTCATTCATCAAAAATATGACGAGGAGGGTTTTTGTCGCTGAACTGAATCACTACACATAAACTATTGACATTTTACACGTTTGAGATGACTTCAAAGTGAAAACGATGAGCAGATCACCGAAGGATACTCATTTGATTTATGGATTCTACAAAAATAAGTTCATGTACCCCTGCTATTCAAACAATGACATGTCTTTCTCTACAATAACATTAATTAGATCATGTAGATTTGTTGATTTGGTGATTTGCATGATTAAAAATTTTGGCAGGCTTTTATTCGGGATCTTGATTAAGCTCACACCTTCCGTGTTAACTTTAAATATTTCTTTACTGGGAATAAATGTTTTCGTTTGATTAACTCATTTAAGGCGTGCTTTGGAATGTGCCACTGGGACATTGTTCAATTTCCTGTAAAAATTTCTTTTAATTGAGCATAAAACATATAAAAGCTGTATTTATGTCTACTACATGTTCACAAGTTGTTTACTGAAATTAGTTATATACTAGTATATTACTTGCATTATTCTTTAATTTATGATTTATTTGTTTTTTAAACTTTTCTTTATAAAAATTGTTATATTTTTTGGCATTGATGTACATGGAAAATATCAGTAGCTCAGTTATATTTGTGTCAATATTTGGAAGCCACCTCCTATACGTCTACCTTTCTAATCATATTCCTAAAGAGAAGTAATATGTGATTTATTTCCTCAGCGTTCTAGTATTCCAATATAATAGTGAATGTCTGTAATCTAGGGCATTTGCAGCATGCTTTGTTCCTTGTACAACACCTGAACAGGTACAGTGCATTTGGAGGATCATATAATACACTGATATTTTTATGCCTATTTCTCTTTTGGGTCCAGGTCAAGCAGGGCTATTTTCATGGACTGGAAACTTCTTTCCACCGCATCTACCCGATGACCTGGGACATTTTTAAGTGAAAGAGTGTAATTCAAATCAGTGGTCACATAAAAGACCATTCAAACTCAGTGACCTAGAAACCTATAATCTGTACCAAATAGTAGGTTTTAGGGGATTTCCTATCAATATCTCCATCTCTGCCATCTGTCATACATTCATGCAATTAACATTAATTGTTCTTATTAATTACCATTATTATATTTTAAGTCGATACAGTGTCATTTCAAATTTTATTTTCATGACGGATTCCAGATCCTTATATTTAAATCGCCATGTATTGTTCAGTAAATGGCTTTCATCGTTCATATATATTTAAACGTCATTGAAAACAAAAGCTAATATCTTTCTATTGTGTACGTACTTATGACTGTAAGTTCAACAGAAAAAGAAAAACATGTTATTAAACCACATAAAATTCTTCTTGCATGAATATATTTTAACTTCTTTTTTATTGTATATAACCTCCTCCCTCACCTCTTATTTTATAGAATCTGGAACTAGATGGTCTTTATCAACATTCGAAGGATGTTGCACACTATTACATTTACTGTGGCACCCAAAATCTCGCTCTGACTAGCAACAGATTTACCCCTTTAAAACATCAACACTTATCGCCTGTGAAGACGATTTGCATTTAATTATTTTGACACAGGTATGGGTATCTGAAATGCAAATTAAAATGCAAAACAATTACCTTAGAGTTACATGTACCCATTGAAGTTTTCTGGGAGAGGGATATGTGTTCCACAGCCATCGTGTCACATTTCATGTAGAAGAATCTCTAAATAACACATAATCCACAGATTTTTGTCATTTTTTCTTTAAATTCATCACACCCAGCTATGTAGCTTTTTGTCAAGGAAGTTCTCTTCTCATTTAAAATCAATGCTTTTACATTTAAATAATACAGCGCCGTAAAAAGCGTTCTGGTCGAAGAGTTTATTCGCCTTTCAAAGGCTTCAAAACAAGACTTTATGGGTGGGTTACATTTTAGATCACAATGTTATCAGAAAAGACGAAAAATTATCGCATTACTAAAATGTAAATAGGGTTAATATACATAGCAGAAAAAATGAGTTTGCATGTAAATTATCCAAAAAGTTAAATGAAATTATTAAACTGGATAAAATTAGAAAGAAAAACCTGGTGGCACATAAATAATAATATTTTTCTTACTGATAATTCCGATAAACAAAATGTATCTGCAGCTATGACTTTGGATGAATTATTTTTTGCTGAAGGACTCTTATTAAGCAATTTTTTCGTCATTGAATTTATATAGATCAATAGTACCGAGCAATCATCCCTAGAATTTTTTCAATAAAAATATTATACTGATACACAGAAATCACAATCGGTCACTGTATATTCAGCCCCGTAGTACATATGTAAACATGCAAAGGGGATGGGGGGATTTTTCCTGAGAATAGTTTTTTTATGTTTCACAGTGTCATTTGAATGTGCTCCCTCCATTTTTTGTTGTTGAAGGGTCAAGCACGTTCAGCTTTCAGCATTTAATTAAGGAATGAATTCAATAGCTACCAAAATTACACCGAATAACCAGGGATGGGGCGGTTTATAACCACAATCCTATTTTAAACCGCAAAACGGTTTATATTAAAGCGAAAATGTTCCAAACTAGATTAATATACCCGTAGATTAAGTAGATATTAAAATTAATCATTATAATTTAATATTCCATAAACAGACTATCAAAGTATGATTTCTACACTTAATAAGTGCTGAGAATAAGACAAATTTCTCTTTCAAAAATTCTTCAAATTAGCAATGTCAAGGGTTGATACGTTTTTGACATGTCATTGCAATGTAATAGTTTATTCGTCAATATTCTGCTTTCTGATTTGTAGAATACTATTTTCCATTGCAACTTTGCGTGAGTCTGCGATATAATGGTTACTCTGACGATTAACTGTAAGTGGACATAAACCTGCCATATGTATTTATAGGAGATACATGCAGGTCTCAAATAAGTCACACATCCAACACAGCTGTGGTGCAGAAAATCACAAATCAGTCAAAACACTATAATAAATAACTGTCCGAAGTTCAAGTGACGAATAAACTACTCACATTCCTAGCACACTCATTACTATTATCTTATAAGATAATAATATGGGTTGAAAAAAATATTTGGAGATAACAAACAGTATTCAAGTTCAAATTTCCATGTAAACAATACAAATCAGGAGCAGAGCAAACACAGACAACTAAAACACCAGAGGTGGGATCAGGTGCCATGGAGGAGTGAGCATTCCCTGCATACCGGTCACACCTGCCAGGCAAAGTGGTTTTTCAATTGGTAGTCACCAATGATTACCTCTCTTCTATTCTCATAGAAAGTATTCTGTGTCATTATTAGTCTGCAAATGCGCAAATTCTATTTACACTACTCTCTGTGAAAGAGCTAAAAAAAGATGAACATTTTGTATAAACATAAAAATTTATTGAATGTCACATCAAAAGATGATTGATATTATAAAAGCATTAAACAAATCGTTGTAAATGTTCTCCTTTCCTAACTACAGTGTTTAACAGTTTTTTAGATTTGTCCTTTTCTTGGCACTCAGTAATGTATGGCAAGAAAAACAGCATGTTTCCCTCCTCTGGTAAAATCTGGAGAAAGTCCTTCACAGTCAGGACATCTGTTAGGTGTTTTAGTATGCCTGGAAATAAAGTAAAATATATAATTAATAATATTTTCAGCCTATTCTAAAATACAGTAAAACACAGTTATACCAAAAACGGTTATAAAGAACTTATGATTACAGTGAAGTGGTTTTTATTCCCTGCACTGTGACTTTATGTTATAAACTTGATGGATCTAACAAATGATGCTTATAAAAGCAAAATCCTCCTTTCCTAGTACTTCTATTAATATAAGCGTTTTTTATCTACCATTTCATTAGCTTTTTCTTTTACAATTTTGATCATAAAAATAACTGTCAAGTTTTTTTCCATGACATAAAAAATACAGGAGGGAATTTCTATATTACTTTATCTTTCCAATATACATTTAACAAGACTGGATTTTTTTTACCTTGAAATGATTTAAAATAAATTTCTGCATTCTCATCTGGATTTTCAGCTTGGAGTTTGTTCATCTGTACAACTTCATTCAAAAAATTACTCCACTAAAGAAATAGAAAAATGTTATCTGTCTTAAATTCAAGTTGATTCTAGTTAAGAGCAAATATTTTTTTTATCAATCACTGGCTTAAATTAAGCATGAAGTAATGCATTTTTTCTGCTAAAAAATTGAGAAATCAGACATTTATATGGTCATTTTTTAGCTCACCTGAGCCGAAGGCTCAAGTGAGCTTTTCTGATCACATTTTGTCCGTCGTCCGTCCGTCTGTCTGTCCGTCTGTAAACTTTTCACATTTTCGACTTCTTCTCAAGAACCACTGGGCCAATTTTGACCAAACTTGGTACAAAGCATCCTTGGGTGAAGGGGAATTCAAATTGTTAAAATTAAGGGACATATCCCCTCGCAAGGGGAGATAATCAAGAAAAGGCAAAAATAGGGTTGGGTCATTAAAAAATCTTCTCAAGAACCACTGGGCCAGTAAAGCTGAATCTTATGTGGAAGCATCTTGGGGTAGTGTACATTCTAAATTGTTCACATCATGACCCCTGGGGGAAGGGCGGGGCCACAATGGGGAATCAAAGTTTTACATAGAAATATATAGGAAAAATCTTTGAAAATCTTCTTCTCAAGAACCACTGGGCCAGAAAAGCTGAAACTTATGTGGAAGCATCCTGGTATAGTGTAGATTCTAAATTGTTCACATCATGACCCCTAGGGGAAGGGCGAGGCCACAATGGGGAATCAAAGTTTTATATAGAAATATATAGGAAAAATCTTTGAAAATCTTCTTCTCAAGAACCACTGGGCCAGAAAAGCTGAAACTTATGTGGAAGCATCCTGGTATAGTGTAGATTCTAAATTGTTCAAATCATGACCCCCGGGGGAAGGGCGGGGCCACAATGGGGAATCAAAGTTTTACATAGAAATATATAGGAAAAATCTTTGAAAATCTTCTTCTCAAGAACCACTGGGCCAGAAAAGCTGAAACTTATGTGGAAGCATTGGTATAATGTAGATTCTAAATTGTTCAAATCATGACCCCCGGGGGAAGGGCGGGGCCACAATGGGGAATCAAACTTTTATATAGAAATATATAGGAAAAATCTTTGAAAATCTTCTTCTCAAGAACCACTGGGCCAGAAAAGCTGAAACTTATGTGGAAGCATCCTGGTATAGTGTAGATTCTAAATTGTTCAAATCATGACCCCCGGGGGAAGGGCGGGGCCACAATGGGGAATCAAAGTTTTACATAGAAATATATAGGAAAAATCTTTGAAAATCTTCTTCTCAAGAACCACTGGGCCAGAAAAGCTGAAACTTATGTGGAAGCATCCTGGTATAATGTAGATTCTAAATTGTTCAAATAATGACCCCCCGGGGGAAGGGCGGGGCCACAATGGGGAATCAAAGTTTTACATAGAAATATATAGGAAAAATCTTTGAAAATCTTCTTCTCAAGAACCACTGGGCCAGAAAAAGTGAAGCTTATGTGGAAGCATTCTGGGGTAGTGTAAATTCTAAATTATAGGAATCATGACCCCCAGGGGAAGGGCGGGGCCATTATAGGGAATCAAAGTTTCACACAGAAATATATAGGAAAAATCTTTGAAAATCTTCTTCTCAGGAACCACTGCGCCAAAAAAGCTGAAACATATGTGCCCATGGAAGGATCATGGGGTAGTGTAGATTTCAAAATGTCTAAATTATGATCAGTGGGGTAGGGTGGGGATGCATTATGTATAACAAGGGGGAAATCTGGTAAAGAACAGAATGGTCAAAGCTTCTCAGGTGAGCGATGTGGCCCATGGGCCTCTTGTTTTTTTTTCATTAAAGGCAATTAGGAGGTAACTTCTACAATCTTCTTAGTTCTTAAAAAGGTTTCCATGTGATGTACAATTCTTAATATTACTGCCATATTATTTGATAAGATTCACTTGTAAATACAGTAAGTAGCCAACTTTGTTTAAATATGAAATAAGCCCCTGGGCTAAAACACTCACCAAACCGGGATCTGCCTCCAGTACAGATGTACTAAAACTAAGGAGGACAGTTGGATACCTTTCCACCATGACCTTGAAGGTTTCTGTGACCTCTGACCTGATTTTACACAGAACCCAGATAGCGTCCCTGCCCTGTAGGGAGGGGGAGGTCTTGAGGAGATCTAGAACTTTGTCCATCACAGCCCCACTGCAGGAGGGGGAGCAAAGCATACTCTGGAAATAGAGAAAAAAGAGGTCATGTGTATACAGAGAATATATGATTATATATTGTATGTGTGTATTTGAACTGAGAATTAATATTGAGGAAAAACAGAAATGCTAAAAGGTATACATGTACAAGAGCAAAACACAACTAATATGGCAAATATCAGACATTCATCATACATGCATATTTTAAATTCATTTACTGGTTTAATGTTCAATCTTTATCTCCTTAGGTTTATACTGAAGAATAAATTGTGTTAGTCATATTAGTAACAATTCAACTGAACTGTTTGTATCATTGTTATTTTTAATCAACCTTTACTTCCAACAACTTGAAATTTTATATGTTCATAGAAAATATACAATTAAGGTTGTTGTACCTGTAGTTTAAGGAGGTCCTCATGACACAGAGCACATGGACAGCTCTCCTGTTTACTGACAGCTGGGGCTGTGGTGTTATTCTTCCTTACTGTGGTAGGACTGGACTGTCTGAGATATAGACAAGGCTGCTTTAAGGCATATAACCCTTTAAAGGGAGGTAACTCATCCAACCAGGAATATCTCTGGCCAAAGTATCCTGTTGTTTTGTTCTAAATAGAGAATTACTTAAAATGTGGTAGCATCATTTATATGTAAATTGAAATGCTCTG